ATGGAGGTGAGGGACCCCAGGTAAATGAAACTGAAACGGATAAAGGCCCGTGGCTTAGGCAACCTTCGCTGCTTGCACTCGATCAGCAACCATTAGGTTTTGCCACGACGTTCTTAAGCCGCTTTGTAGCTCAAATAAAAGAGTTTAAATCAAAATTGCCGTTCAGCAGAACTAAACCAAAGGTCTGTCATGAGTAACTGTTTGATAGCTGCCCGCTAAATCTGCTTTTGCTGTCTTTTTCCCGAGACCCTGCTGGTCGCGAATTGTTGGGACCTTTGTAGGCGAAAAAGAGCCACTGCGTTTTAAAGCAAATGCACCTTATTTGAATAAATTAATAGGGTATGTGCAAAATACACATTGCCTTGAAATTTAGTCCGATGCCTCCCAAGATACCAACCTGAAATACTGTATAGGGGAATTTCACTTTTCAAAATTGATCTCCCACAATGGCCTCCGACGTTATGCGTGTCGGTAGAATTTGATCAGTGACCTTGACAGAGAAATTGGAAAGCAACAAATACGAATATAGAAAAGTCTCCACACGTTTCTGAAGACCAGCCCTTCAGGTTTCAAATTGTGCAGAGGTTTTATTTGTGTGGTCAGTTTTAATATGCGGTTAATTCGCCCAAAGAAACACCGTCCATTTCGAATTGTCGCGCCCCATTCGGTTTATGATTAGATCAAGCTAAAACGAAATACGTATATATATATATATATTTTTTTTTTGTAGTTTAGAGGGAAAATACTTCAAGAAATACTGTTGCACGTAAAGTTTGTAGTAAAAGCAAGAGACTAGTTAGATCGTTACGTCTTTCTCACCACCATAGGTAAATGCTATGTGTACAGCCTTCCAGTCCCTTTAGTCATAATTCTAACATAAGAAATTCAAAAAAATCGGATAAAATTAAAATGATATATATCATAGTTTATAAAACAACTTATTTGCGGCTAAAACTGCTTGAGGGATCTGTAAACTAGATACGACTGTCAAAACCAGTAACTCGATAAGAGAGATTAGTGGTTTCGACGTAAACTATCAGCGAAACACCCTGTAACTTTAAATAGAAATTAACCAAAACAACTTACCACATCCCTCTTCAGGTAAAAAGAAATTAAACAGGAAGGGCTTTCTCATGGCTGTTTGGCTGTGATAACAATAATAATAATGATGATGTGTATAATGATAATATATAGATTTAGCCAAGCCTAAAAGAGAAGCTCTTGTTAGTTTATTTTCTAGCCCCTCATTACAATAAAAACTGTAATAAAACTCTTCAGCGCTGGCTGAAGAAGATTTTTTCAAGGGGACTAAGAGACCAGTCCAGGGCCAGGGGGTGGGGAGGGAAGGGAAGAATTGGCGGGGTCTGGAACCTGGGGACGACGTTCTCACAACTTGCGATAAAAAGCACGCTAGTTAGCGGTATCTTCAAGCAGCTAAGGACTTTTCGTTGTAGTTCCTGATGTTAAGAGCAAAGTTTCGAAGATAGAGAATCTTTTCTTCTTCAAAGGGAGGGTACAATGTCAGCATCAGTTGAAATTATATTCTTTTGAGCGTGACTGGTAATTTTGGTTTGGGAAAATGAGCCAAAATTGAAAGAAACAACGTTAAACTACTTCGAGTTTAGACATCAACAGTCGATTGGAGAGTATACACGTGATAACAGTGAATTAGTAAATCAAGACGTCAGAATCGTATGGGCTTCTCTTATATCTTCTCTTGAAGTCGCCAGGTATGACTGCTTGCCCCATCATTTTTCTCTAACGTTTCAACCTCCTTTGTTTCGCGTAAAAATTAAAAAGAAAAGTCATTTTCAACTCATGTTTGAACCCGTAATTTCTTAAAACTTCTCCTGTTTTGGCTATTATTGTTTCATGATTGTCCTCTGGCTGGAAATACACGGCGTCTCTCTGAGATTCTTTCTGTTATTTGATTCGGTAACCTCTGCTGTAACTACTTATAATGTGGGTTTCTTTACGCCAACTGCCCATGATCCTAGCAACTCTAGCTAACGAAATTTGTCTAACATGTTTCTTACGCTGCAAAAGTTTGGTTTAAAAGAAGACAAGCTAGAGCTAAAGTGTCATGATTAAAACTTGATGACGAAGAGAGACTCGATCATGAAGACATTTGTGGAAAACTTAAGATAATACCTGTATTTCATTTTTACATCACAACAATCAATTCCAAACATCAATCAAGTTTTCTCTTTAGTTTTAAAGTTGGGTTGATGTTGTTATTGGCAATATTAAATGGGTTGAAAATTTTTAGATGGTATTTTCTCATGTTTGCAAATAGTCAAATTTATTGGAAGGTACAGTTATTGCAACATGCTAACATAAAACACAATAATAAATTTTATTGATATGTAAAAAATTTTCATTTGACTACCTACTGGCAAGTAGTTGTATTATATTTCAACCCAACCGTTTTCCACAATTTGTAAACACCATTCCCAAATAATTAGTCGAGGAAACATACGCCATGTTTGAAATGTCATGTCCACAGCAAGCGAACAGGATTGAGGTGAATTTATGTGGGAATAGGCCCTCTTGTCTGTATTGTTAATTTACTAATCGCTCCTGTTGCCAATATAACAGAGAGAAGATTGCACGATCACAGCTCAGACGCTTCTTGCAAAATGTGATGACTGTCGATTTCAGAGATTGATTCTTCAGTTTCAAGCATTAAGAAAAAAATATCGTATCGCAAGAATGTTCATCGTAACCCGAGCAGTAAGTACGCCTCGAGATGTTGAGAGAAGAGAGAATGGCTCCATGTTTAGTAAGACAATTGAAATTATTTCCTTAAGTTCGTACGAATCGAGTAGAAAGCATGAAAACATAGCGCTGAAAAGTACCATGACTAAACAATGAAGTTCACTCATTCGGCAGTAGAACTAACTCCATTTTACCCGTGAGTTTAATCGCACCACACGTTTGCGGTCCATAATTTAATTCTCAGATATTTGACGGGTTCTCATATGACAATATTATCGAAATCAAATTACCGAGTCAGACTTAATGTTAACATGGACGTCGCTGACTCAATCTCATTTATTTCAATTTTGGGAAAGGCTACCACTTCGCTCTTAGGCTAAAACATTAATTAAATAAACGTTTAACTCGCGTTGTATTTTTTATTTATAGCTCTTAAAAATCCATAGAGAGCTGTCTAGAACTCTAAAAACAATAACTCGTACTTTCAATATGACGACTTAGCAGTAAATTACTTACTTTTTTTTTAAGGTGTTTCCCAAGTTTCTTCCATCGATCAGCATGTCGTACCATACTTTGATGTCGGGGACATCGCTAGTGGCAAAGTCGATCTAAGAATTATTGAGTACCATGAAAAGAATTATTTCCTTGTAAACCATTTTAGCCCGTCTCCTTCATACCCAATTTTTCTTCTCCAGAGCTGTGGTTGAAGGAAAAGATAAACATTCAAACATTCAACATTCCAGCCCTCGTGGTTAGAAAAGTATCTGTGGCTTGTACATAACCCTTCTGAAATGAGAGAAATTTACGCAAATATTGCATGATGCATGATAATCCGTCAGATCCTTGAGCACATTAGAGGCCACTTGTAACAGCTCTGTTCCAAACACTGGAAAAACCCACTTGTAAAGATGAGGTACTTGAGCGTCATCAAAAAATGCAGTGTCATCAGCCAGGTGAGGGCACTTGACACCGGCATTGCGCTAATCTAATGTACTCATTAAACCAAAGGAAATCTAAACATTGATACCGACGATATCTGTACAGCATTTTTAGTCAGGCGAGAAGGATATGACGGCGGGGGGGGGGGAGGGAGGGGGGAGATTGGGTTGGGATTTGTTGGTTGTTGGGGAGAATTATGGCGTTGCGGAAAGAGGTAATTTGCCCCATAAAAGTTTTCTGAACCGCCCATATCAAAATTTCCTGGGTGAAATATGCAGGAGTAAAGTGTTGAAGATACACATGTATTCATAGCCAAGGGGTCAACTGTAGACCAGCCCTTCTACTGTTGGCATTTATTGCATTTTACTCCATTGCTGTAAAAGCTATTTTTGTTCATAGGCAAAAAAGCATAAACATCAAAATCAATAACTATTTGTACATAATCATCTGGATCGGCAATACGCCCTTCCACATACAGGTGGGCGATTGGGGCAAAACTGTCATCCGAACTGCCAAAGAGCATTACCGGCAGGCAGAATGTGACATATTGTGACCAAAATTGATCCCACCTTGATCCTAACAATCTGCACTTAACGTATAAAACTCTGAGCACAAGGCAAGAAATAGAGCATAATCGGCCATTTCACCGGGGGGACCTATAGTATTCAAGGTCAAAGAAAAGTTCTCATATTGTCATTTTTACTAAGGGACGTGTGTCAACTATAGATAATTAAAGCACTGCAATAAGTTTTGCATTGCTGATCTTGCGAGGCAGAGCGCGTTGAAAATCTGGCTAGGCTTGTTTTTTTATTGTGGTAGAGTCGATTGATTCTTGGACATTCTGTCTGTCGCACCTGAAATTCATATTTTTTTAGATCAAGTTCAAACGCCATCAATAAAAGCTTTAATCATCGTCCACGATAATTGTACTGACGACCATGTTTGGAGAGCGCTTGGTAAAAATTGGTGCTCAGAACCTTTTTACGTTATGAGGATAACCATTGCACTTTGGGTCCCAGACTCCCTCCTCCTCGTTAACCGTTACCCGCTCCTCATTTTTGGTTTTAAGAACATCCTATTGCGTCGCAATTCGTCGATGTAAATAGCCACTGCAAATTTTGAACGTACATTACGGGAGTGGCAGGCTAACCATTAACCGTAAAATGGGAAGAAAAATAAATTAAGAAATAAGATGACAATAATAATAAAAAAAAAAAATTGTCAAATTTCACCGTCAACTGTCGATTTTATTCTGGTAACCACAAAGGAAATTAATTGAACGTTAAATTAGCTATAAGATGGCCAAAGGTTTAACCTTAGTCGTTAGAGCCATCACTGAGACCCCCTCACAACTTTTAAGGAAAAAAAATTAAAGCTTCAAAGCTGCTATTTTTATTCTAACTGTTACGCAAAGAATACATCAGTGAATAAAAAGAAGAAAAAAAAAACTTCTTCATTTCAGGTGCCTCCATTGTCTTATCAATACTTCTGGAAAGTTCCTCAACTTGATTCAAAAATTACTGTTTGTCAGCAATTTTACAAAAGAGTGAGAACAATGACTAGCTAGGTGTCAGTATTTTCACAGAGGTTTACATCATTTAAAGTCACTGATCTTCAATACTTTTACTGGACTATGGCATCGTCTAAAATATAACTACTTAATTCCATGCTTCTATTATACGTTGGCATTATTCATAGTGACGTATATATTATACTATGCTAAAAATTAACTTTTAAGCTGATGGTTGACGTGTTGGAGAGCCTCTCAAACATGTTTCCTCCCGCGCTGGTTCCACCAATGCAATGGTACTTGTGGTCTAGAACTAAAAGTTTAAGCTTGGCAATTCGGTTGGATTGCTTAGAATACGGGTCGCTGTCCTTCGTCGGTGAATTGCTCGCGTTGTGATAACCACTGGTGGTGCAGATAAAATTCAGACTAAAGCTGATAGGAGTTGTTTGGTTTTCTAAATCTCTCACGCTTTGATTGGGCTTGATGTCTGGGGAATAAAATTGAAATTTGAAAAATAGAAATTGAGAGAATTATTACTGCCACAACGACGGCATGTTCAGAAATCCCTTTCCCCCGTTTCTCTTCCCCCCTCCCCCCCAAAAAAAAATGGATCGTGGAAATCTACATTTCTCTTGCCTTTCTCTTCACTTTGTTTTTCTTTCGGCCATGACGTTTTTACCTTCATGCAACATATCAAAATATCTGAGAAAGTAATCCGCGTGTTCTCCTATTTCATCATTACCCTGAACGTAAGTGAAACGCTTCAAACATAGCGAACACCTTTTGTAAAGTAATAAGAAATAATCCTCTTCGCTACCCTTGGGTTGGTTTTGTTGGTTTGTAAAGCATATTAACATATGATGAATAATGCTTTTTCATCCATAAGGTGTTTGGCTTAGGATGAGTAGTTGGAGTGTAGTTCAGAGTTAAATTAGGGTTGATAAAAACGCTTTGGCTCTTCAGATCTTCAACGATTTAACGGGTTTGGTTTCCTAAAGAACAGAATATGACAACAGATAATGTTTATTTCTCTGATAATAAAAATACAGAAAGCAAATGTAACGCTGAGGGTGATGAAAGAATGGTGCGTCTTGCTTGCTAATGCAATATCAACAGCTTGTTATTTTTAAGAAAAGGTCAGTGATTGTAAAATTCATATCAGGCTGACAAAGACCAAGGAGAGACGGAGTCGGTAACACGACTTATAATATAAGCGAAATTGTTTTTGGTTTTTTTTAGTAAAAGAGCTAAAATATCCCACAGGTCATTCTTTCAGGGAATTCTATGTAGCTTCATTAGAGGATAGCAACGGGTTAAACTCCAAGTATAATTAAGGCCAAATTTACAGAAGACGAACGTGATATGTGTATTTATGAACCAGCGGGGGGCAAGAACAGACGAAACGTGTGATTTACTTCTTTCATCTCACGATTTGAAGGATTACTATTTATTTTTGTGACGCCTAAAATGCGTTTTAAAATATACATGACGCGGAAATTGCACGTGAAAAGGGATCAGGACACCCCCTCCCCCTCACCCTTTTGCTATCCTCTTATTATGTTGCAATACTAAAAAAAGTCAATTCGAAAAAAAATGGGGCATGAGACTATTAGTTACACCAACGAGACGAAGAACTATTTAGATAATGCGATCTTGATGACACAGCCTCATGCAATGCTGATGTTTTTTTTTTCCTTTTATTTCTACGCTACTTTCATTTAATTTACCAGTCATCACCTGAGTGTTGTCCTTGTATTACTTTCCTAATCTGTTGCTTACCTTGTGGACCAATTTCGACTGATTTTCTTCTGCAGTGCGCAGGATATGGATTTCCTGCTTCACACGTGTAGTTCCCGAGTTTCTCTACCGTCAGATTTTTGAGCATTAAAGTACATCTAAGTTTTAACACCATTGTTCTACCCTGCACACATTTATGTCCAACTGGCTTGCCTTGTGGGTCATACCATTGAATGTACTCGGTCCATCTATCGTAATATCCTGCATCAATACTCCTGGGCTGCGCCATACAAGTCAGGTTTACCGCTGTACCAACAGCTAGTTTCTGCATTGGTGGACTTGTGGAAATCTCTACATCAGGTATTACTGGAAGAGGGGGAAAGATAAAACCATTAACAAGTCTTATGGCACGTGAAAAAAATTGGCAACAGCCATTCTGAACTGAGTAACAATAAAACGAAATAAAAAATAATAAAGAAGAAAAAACCTGCCTCAGAAAAACCAAAAAGTGCCTTCACTACTTACTAGGCAGTTTATGGTTGCAATTTTTGCCGGTGGCTTGAGGGAGATGCAGCAGACCATTCATGACTATAAGGACCACCAGAAAAGATTTAGAAGCGTCATATGGACAATAATTGAGTCCCATTGTAACCACGTTGGCAAGAACCCGTGAATGTTGCTGTAATAGCCTGAAAGGAAGATTGCTCGCTTAATATAGGAAAAATCTCATTCTTAAAATAACATTAATAGCTTTCTCTGTTTAGAATTTAATTGTTGAGCAACTGTTGATCACATGATTATTTATAGAAGTGGGCGAAAACGAACCTTGCCTGGGCAACCCAGTCACTGTCGAATCGTTTTAGTCTGGCAGTTAGGCGATTTTATTCTATTAATATAAGTGAGTGATTTGTTTCGATTACAATCATTGAATTTTTATTTTAACCCCAAGGAAAGAAATAAACCGTTCTTAGTAAAATGGCCAAAATTTTAACCGTTAGCCGTTGAGGTCATCGCCCCTTTGAGACTCTTGTTTATATTCAGCAGCCTAACAGGTCTCAGTCGGATAATTGTAAATTTATTTCTGGCGAAGTTTGTCATCACATGTACAAACATGTATGCTTAAAACTCTATACCATAGGCGTAGAAACGGAAGAAGAAAATATTGATAAATGTGAAAAGTACATGTATAACAGATGCTGAATGGGTTGATTGTGCTGAATGTGTGCAAGCCACTTACCTCGACTGTCCTTCGTGCTACGGGCAAGTACTAAAGAAAGTGCTTTGCAATATGGGTTTTATGCTCAATCCCTCGGAAGTATAGTCTTTCGAGGCATGTTAGTTTAACTTTCCGCAGAATGTTTGTCATTTTACCGAGCATTCCAATGATAGTGACAGTACTGTATTCAAACCTATAGACAGCTTCTTGTGCTTGAAATATCACGCGAACAGTTCAGCGACGTCTGTCCGTCATGAACGAGGGCCAAATATTTTCCCATCTGGCCCGATAAGCATTTTATCATATGACCACTGACTTAGTTTTGAGAATTTCGAAAATTTTGTTGCAACTTCAAAAGGACGCGATAAACTGACGCACGTGGGAAAATAGCAAGACGATTCTACAACAACAAAAAAAAAATAATAATAATAATTGAAACAAAATCTTTTCTTTCTTTTTTCGAGTCTAAATTCGCAATTCATCAAAAATCATATCTTGTATTCTCATTTTCAGTTCACTGCTATCACTCTTTTTTTTTCCATCAAAGTCGTATGAGTGCATTGGGGCCAGACGTCAACCCTTTCTGCCTATACACTTCAGCTTTCACTATGATTTTGTAAGGGATTGCGCAAGCGGAGCCAGACAGATCATACGATAAATTTTATCATTTTAGTGTGTATTTTCTTTAGCAAGCTGGGGTGGCTACTTTCTTATCAGTTATGTTTTCTTAATCACGTCGGTGTTGGGCAATCTTGAATAAAATGACACCCAAAAGCGGTATTGACTAAAGTTGCAAATTAAGAGATTGCCTAGCTTGCTAAAACGTGCTGGATCGTATTTCTGTATGGTTCACGAGCAACTTTTTCCCCTAAGTACGTAATGACAACAATAATAACAATTTTGTACAATAGGAGGCAAACCTCTCCAGCCATGTCGCCATCCTCATAGTAGTGTAATCGAATATGACAGTTGGATCTTCGTTGACAGACTAAATTGTGCAATACAGGCTAATTTTTGTTAGGGATAAAAAAAATAATTAAAGAGTTGTCACCGCGAGAGCAAGAGTGAGATCTTGCTGGAGAGAAGAGATTTTGATATTGAATATGATTTCTTGCTCAGCTGAATCAAGTCGAATTTTCCTACGTAATCAAGATGATATGAGTCGTAAGAAAATGTTTCGGTTCACTTCTTTTGCTTGCCTGGCCTTAATTAAGGTGTTAGGGTTTATCAGATAATAATGCGTCAAAATAATGGCTAAAAAAGGCTATGTTCACATAGCAGGTAATTTAGTGTTAACAACTGGGTTGAAAACGTAAATTAGCCACCGTAAAGAGTAAAAAAGCTGACGTTTCGAGCGTTAGCCCTTCGTCAGAGCGATGTTCACATAGCTAACATTCTGGTAAATTTCAGTTTGCTTAGCTCAGTATTGGAGGGAAGTGAAAATATTGCTAAAATGTGGACCTCTTTAATGGCAGTTACTGGAATATAGGTTGTGGAGCCCAAAATCAAAGCATAATAAAGATTTATAATGAAAATTAACTTATTTACAAACGAAACAAAGCAAAGCAAAATAAAACGAAACGAAACGAAACAAAGCAAAGCAAAGTAAAGCAAACCAAACCAAAAAAAAAAAAGCAAAAACAATAACTGATAAGTAAAATAAGTTATGAAATACGTTTGGAAGATTTGAACTGACCTTGGATACTCGCGAGTAAACTGATAAGGAACTTACGAAATATCTCATGACTCCACTAAATTCCAAAAATTCAATACAGCAGGATGCGAGCATGCATAAGAGGCCAGGTGCAATAGGCATTTACTTTGCTTAGTTTGTGAGAAAATGTGTCATCAGTTCAGTGAGACAAGTGCACCCGGCGATTTTTACCCTACCAAAGGCGCCGTTGTCCTGCCTTGGAGCAGGACAAATTTTTGTCAGGCGTGAAATCTGAAAGTTTTTGTTCTCCCGTTCTTTTGTATTTCTAGCAGAGAGAGATAATGTTTTTGGTTTACTTGTAGAGTTTTTTTACAGGATCCTCTCTTGCTTTTCTATGGTATTTTGTTGCTATTGTTGTTGCCTTTGTTATTAATCTGTAGGGTTGGAATCTCTTGCTCCATAACTCTCTACTTGAAAAGCTGTTTCAACTGGAGATCCGAGATTTATAGCTTTGTTTCTTATACGATGATTTAGATAGATTGAATAGTGTTCTTCAGCTAAGCTCGAAATAACAATTAAATAACTAACTTAGTTTCTTCGACTTTGTTCGTTGGAGGAAGTTGGTCGTTATTCGGTACTGGTTTCATTTTAACCTTCTGTGTGATGATCTCTTCTTTTGAATAATGTGTACGCTTCGTTTTCGCTTAAGTCGCATACACTTCCCTCGCGACTATAAGTTGCGTTTAAAGTTGACTAAATCAACAAATCTAACAAATCAAACCATCGACGATAAAAAAATTGGGAAAAAAATAGAAAAACTTAAAACCGTCTGGGTTTCAAATGTCTTAAGAACTAACTCAAATACCTAAAAAATAATTTACATCGCAATCGCATCGGTGTGGCGTTTCTCAGATTTTTGAATGCTTCCAATAATTACTATCTATCGTAACTTCCTGTCAGATTTCACAAAAGGAGAAGTAGTAGTTGTTATGTCTTTGGACTTATCAAAAGCGTTTGACGTCATCCCTCACTCTCTTCTTCTAGCCAAACTGAAAGCTGATGGATTCGGTGAGGAAATTTGCGCCTCTTCGAGAGATTATTTGAATGACAGATCACAGAGAGTCAAGATCGGGGATGCTTTCTTTACCTAGGAAACGAGTCAGACGGGGAGTACCACAGGGAAGTGTATTAGGACCTATATTATTTAATATTTTCTTAAACGATATGTTTTATCATGTAACACGTACCAAGCTGCATGTTTATGCAGACGATCAACAGATATGCGACTCTAATGTAGATCCAGTTAACCTGGAGGAACGTACGACTACGATTTGCCAGTTGCTAATCAGTGGTATCACAATAATGGCATGACTGCCAATAAAAGCAAGCAGCAAGCAATGGTTTTAGGCACTACTGATCATATGTTTTCTTTTGCTGCTAAGCCTTCAACAGACATATTGGTATAAGTATTGACAACAAACTATGTTTCGATATCAGGTAATTTAGTGTTAACAACTGGGTTGAAAACGTAAATTAGCCACCGTAAAGAGTAAAAAAGCTGACGTTTCGAGCGTTAGCCCTTCGTCAGGGCGATTCGAAACGTCAGCTTTTTTACTCTTTACGGTGGCTAATTTACTTTTTCAGCCCAGTTGTTAACACTAAATTACCTGCTATACTCTCCCACCGACGCAGCACCACAGTTTCTTTAGAAACTTACCCCTTTATTCATATGTTTCGATATCATATATCTACCATCTGCAAGAAGATAAACAATCAGTTTCGTGTTATGTTAGGGCTTCATAAACTGATCTCAAGTGCCACCATTTTAAAAATTTACAAAGCTTTTATCCTACCGCATTTTCAATACTGCTCTACAGTTTGGCATTATTGTGGTGCACGTAATGCAGAAAAGTTAACCTCAATTCGTTAAGTAGTAAGCAACTCCAGTGCATGTTCATATTGTTACATAAGAGCTTGTTTTTAGAAAACTACCCAAATTATATGAAAACCGTGTCTACTCTTCGTTCTGCAAGTTGCAACCTACGTGGTTACCACATCCTGTCACTTTCTCAGCCGATAACAACAACGTATGGTCTACATTCTTTAATTACTTAGCTGCTAAACTATGGAATTCCCTACCTGCTGGCCTGAGAGCTTAAGAGGATTTATATGACTTTAAGCGGACAATTCTTGGTTATGTCATTTTAACATTTAATATCACAAGCATGTATCTTCATATCAATTGTAAAGTACATCGTATTTTATTGTATTTTATATCAGTTTTATTAATGTATTATTTGATTAGTATGTAAATTTTATATTCTTTTCAGGATTTTTTATTTTCATTGTATTTTATTATATTTAACACGAAAACATCAGCTTTTGTAGCTACACTCAAATTTCGCGTTTAAATAAAGTCTATTTATGTACGTATGTATATGTAAGCTATACAACCAAATGTTTGTTGAACTTGCTTCAGTGGTAGAGGAAAACCAAACAATGACAGCTGTACCCAATGACCTCATAATGACCTCAGAAGATTGCATTAAATAACATGTTCTCGCGCTCGAAATTTCTATTTTTTTCTTAAACGTTTCAAAGTATAGGTTAAAGCCGAAACAAGAGATTATTTGTTTGTGATAGGACAGCCTTTCATGTAGATCTAAAAGATTAAAAATAAGAAAATCAAGAACATCGCAGTCTGTCATAGAAACAATTTGCTTTGATAGCTAAATTTACCATTTGCTTGTGGCAATTGTGGAACATCAAGAGGAACTAATGGCCAATTTTTTTTCTCTTGAGACAATTTAATGGATCTTTTTATTTGGATAAGTTTAGCCATTCTGTAAAAAAGGGATGCAAATGAAGATTTTTCATCAAATACCATTGCTAAAGGTCGTAATTAGCAGATGCTTACAGTCGTGAAAATATTGTTAACATTTATGTAGAATATTAATACTACAGTCCAGCATTATACCTTCTCTCGTGTTCTCTTGTATCGTGCTATATTCAGAGGCATCAATTCATGTGGTGCTTGCGCTTGTCGGGCATGGCGGTGTAATTGCAGTTGCTGTTGACGGAGACCGAGGTTTATCTTTACATAAGAAAATACTGAGATTGATTGAGACTGCCGTATCTTAAACCAATTAAAGCACAGCCCAGAAACCAAAAACAATTTAGCAGCCCCTGCGCGCCTGAATGTGACAACATATCGGTATCAGCCCCAGAGGCAAGGCGAGAAGCCTGTCTACACATATTGCAGTAGAAGTCTGTACGGATATTGTTACCAAAAAAATTCCTAAAGAATTGTTAACTTGACTGCATTAGTATATGATATTTCCTTTCGTGTTTAGCGTCCCCAATGCACTAGTTAACACAAAGAGTGGTTTTGAAATAAGTTCCATGCAAAGATCACTTATATTATTGCCAGACATCGAAAGAAGGGCGGATGGAAGTCACTTCACGAAGAGCAGTTTAAAAAAAAATTGTTCCAAGATGCAGTGATAGAGAGAAAGAGAGAAATGGTGAGAACTATGGCAAACCCTTCTGGAATTGTGCTTATTGGATGTACATATCTTCATTTTTCCTTCATTGTCTC